ACACTTGAGGCGGGCACAGACGTCCCTTGGTATAGGAGAACAAAGCTCCAACCTCCCATTATTAAAAAAAATAGAAGTTCTCAGTTCTGAATTTTAATTCTCTTACTACTGTCTTGGCCTTGTTTTGAGATCTTTCATATCATTGCAGAATGTTTGTTGCCTATTATCTATCAATGGTATCAACATAAATGCCAACAACAAGAATGGAGAGACCCCACTGGACATTGCAGAGAAATTCGGATATTCAGAACTTGCAACTATCTTGAAGGAAGCAGGGGCAGTGAATTCCAAAGACCAGGGCAAACCCCGAAGTGCAGCCAAACAACTTAAGCAGACGGTTAGCGACATAAAGCATGATGTTGAGTCCCAACTACAGCAGACCCGCCAAACTGGTTTTAGGGTTCAGAGAATTGCCAAAAGATTAAAGAAACTTCACATTAGTGGCCTCAACAATGCCATAAACTCTGCCACTGTTGTGGCTGTTCTCATTGCTACTGTAGCTTTTGCTGCCATATTCACTGTGCCCGGCCAGTTTGTTGAGGATAAAACGAATGATTCTACTCTGGGACAAGCGCATATTGCTACGAGTGCAGCCTTCATCATTTTCTTCGTCTCTGACAGTTTGGCGTTGTTCATTTCCCTGGCAGTTGTGGTCGTCCAGACATCTGTAGTTGTGATTGAACAGAAGGCAAAGAGACAGCTTGTTTTTGTGATTAACAAGCTCATGTGGTTGGCTTGCCTCTGCATATCAGTTGCCTTTATTTCAATTACTTATGTGGTTGTTGGCTCAAACCACAAGTCCCTTGCCATCTGTGCAACTGTGATCGGTAGCACAATAATGCTTACAACAATTGGCTCCATGTGCTATTGCGTCATTCAACACAGGATGGAAGAGTCGAAATTGAGAAGTATAAATCGAGGCGAAAGCCGATCCCGTTCATATTCCATGTCTGTTGTTGCATCAGAATCGGAGTTGTTGAATAATGAATACAAAAGAATGTATGCACTTTAAGGTGATTGAGATTGAGAGAAGAACAAACATGTCAGAATAACTGGTTTCTGACTAAGCCATATGATGCTGGTCTTCAACCACTATGAAGCTGAAGACATGAAACTGGGAACTTGGACTACTCGACCAGATATAACACCGGTAAAGTCGGTCCATGTTAGCCTACTACGATCTTTTTGCATCCGGCTTAAAGGACGCATAGCATTGCGGATAATAAATACTAGAAGTTAAATGCAAATGATATCAAGATATTAGATTATGTAACAGATCAGTTGCTATATATATCTATCATTACCAGATGATAATGGTGTCGATTGTCAAAACCGATGCTTGTAGCCAGTTCATATATTTGATGCAAGTATTAGCGGTTGTACGGACCGCTGCTGGTGATCGATGTCAATACCATCACATACTGGGTTTGTAGATATTCCATTCGATCTTCGTACCATCACTTGTTTGTAGATGCCTAAATATTATTCATACCCTCTGCTCTCAATTTTCCTATATGTCCTGTTTTATGGGAATTTGAAGGCCTGAATGAGGTTCTTCATCAGTCTCCCAGTGTAAGATTTTCATCTCAATCAGATTAGCAAGAGAAAAATTTTCATTTATCCGGCAATCATAATTTTTGTTTAGATTTTAATTTTCATTCAAGAATTTAGAGTAACTAAAATAGAAATGGTATTGCAAACATAAGCTAGCTTAAAGGTAATTGATACCAGTCTCTCACTAAGAAGTTACGAGTTCGAATTTTTCCACCCCCACTTTTAGTTGTTTTCTAAGGCGATATGTAACTAACTGGCAAGTGTTTTTGTTTTTTTTTTTTGTTTTTTGATTTTTTTAAACGCAACATTGGTTTCTTTTAAACTTCTTTGTGTCCTTTTTTTCTGACGGATTAAACTCTCTGTTAGAAGGTCAGAAAAAAGACTATCACCTTGACCAAACCATGGGAATAATGCACACATTTCCCATGGGATGAATGAGATATCAAGAATGTTGAAATTGAAGAGTGAGCTCAACTTACAAACAACCTTTGTCTGCCCTGTGCTTCTATTGAGTCGTGTACTTATTTCACAAAACAACTTTCTCAAAATAGACTAGTAAAAATTTGATTTTTATCCCAAACAATACTCCATGGACACCCCACTATTTCTGTAATAAACAAACCAGCAATAGTAACTGTCTGCAAGGAATTTCGGCGAATAGAAACTCCAAATAAGTCAACTTAATTTGTATTTATGTATTAGTGTTAGAATCTCTAACGTATAATCCTTAGAATCTCTAATGTATAATCCTATAATGCTTTCTCTGAGGTGCAAACTTTAATTTGTGGGCTTGTGAGCTTGTTCTTGAATGACGAAGGTTGATGCCTTCGGCTCCTAGTTTGTTGAAGTCTTCGGTTTTGAACTTATTGAAGACCTTGGTTTGTTGATGAAGTTCTTACACTTCTAGCTTGATGAAGTTATTCGACTTGTAGCTTTTGAAGAGTTATTCAGTTTGTTGAAGTAGTTAATAGGCTTATAGCTTGATGAAGTTCTTCTGCTTGTAATTTTTTGACTATAGAGCACGATGAAGTCTTCAACTTATTGAAGTTCTTCAGCTATGGAGCTTGGAGCTCTTCAGCTATGAAGTTTGATGAAGTTCTTTGACTATGCAAGGAGAAGATTTGATTCTTGAAGGTCTCATAGTCTTCGATTTTACAAGTTTGATTTTGAAGGATCTGATGGCTCTAAATCCAAATCCTTCTCCCCTCAAACGAGAGGTGACCTCCTCTATTTATAGAGTCTTAGTAGGTATTATATGAGTATTCCTCTCATCGGCTTGATGGGTTTGAGCCAAATCTCTACATGAGTTGATCTAATTAGCCGAGATGTCATAAGAAGGATCATAAGAAAGACCCGACATAATTTGATTTTTAGATTTTAAAATTGATTTGAGTACACATGTAAATTTGTGATTGATCATAAATATAATTTTAAAATAATGACGCGAGAGAAATTGATGTTTTAGCGAAAGAAAATGAGCATATTTAGACACCACAACAAGATATAAATCCACCTGGTTTTGGCAATCCCTCCACAAAATCCATGAAAATATCCTCCCAAATCTTATTCGAAATAGGTAATGGTCAAATGAGGCCAACAGGAGCTAAGGATAAATCCTTTGCCTGTTGACACACTGTACAATCAACAATGAACGAACGAACACAAGTCTTCATCCCCTTCCAATAAACTGACTGTTGGTATGTTTTAAAACTCCTCCATGACCCCCACAAAGTTTGGAACATTGATTCTGCATGAATACCGCACTCTTTTTAAAACTACTTAGGTGTGATAGGTAGAGAATGACTAAAAAAAGGTTATGGAACATTGATTTTGCATCAATACGGTACTGTTTAAGATCCCACGTTGAAAAGAAAAGGATCCTAACAAGGGTTTATAACATAAGTGGGCTACTCCTCTCAAGCGCGATAGTCAATACAAAAACGCCAGCTTCTGTCCTTCTTAATGTCGAGCTTGAAAAAGTATTCTTGCGCAGCTAAATTATCTGGCAAATAACATCACCTTAACGAGCTTTTTGGAACTGAGGGTATCGGTAGAGACATACATTCACCACTGGTGTGCCCATAATTTGTTCAATGGCTTGATCTTTGTTACATACAGGTGAAAGTTCAAGGAGAGGGTCCAACGTAGTGGCAAATTGGCATAAAATACCCTGAATTTTCCACTTGAAATTGCTAAGAACATCAACATTTGGCGTTAATTCAACTAATAGCTCATCTTTGCCCACCAATTTAATCAACGATTTAAGGGATATCTGAGATCATACCAAACTACAGTCTCCCCATAATTAAACGGCCCAGTTCCCTAATTTGAAATCCGATCTCAGAAGCAAGCCAATCCATCTAAACATTACCTAGAGATGAAGTCTTCAATAGTCCCCATTCTTTCTTTTTTTTTTTTTTTGATATCCGTGTGTGTCCGGGCCAACTTACGCGCACCTCGGCCATCATGGAATTTGAACCAATTCCCTTTTAATTAACCTTGGTCCCTTTGTGTTGGGATTATGAAGCCAAAACAGGAAACTTATGTCCTATGAAGAAAAAGATTTTTCAACACTATTACCAATTCCTACTGGGGGTAGGATATTATTGTCTTATAAGGATTACAATATTGGTTTCCTATAAGAATTAGGATATTTGGCCTTTTATAAATAGAGCTCTTATGTTAAGTGTTTTATTTGTACATAATCCAGATAAAAGGGACTTGAGTGGGTGTGGGTAGTGTTGAAAAGGATTATGTATCTCGTGGGTTTAGTGAGTGTTTTTTATTCCTGTACCTAAGTTTAGTGTGTTATAATACTTAGAAGCTAGGTGGCTTTTGTTGGGACATCTAGGGGATATTTTTGGGAGCGTTTTGTATTCCAATCCTTAAACAGTTATGAGTGAATTACCGACATCTGAGTGGAAGACGGGATGTAGCCCTTAGTGGTGAACCAGTATAATTTGCTGTGTCATTATTCTTGTGCTTTTACAGTTTTCTTCCTATTTGCATATTTTTTGTTGTGTTTGGATATTTCTATGGAATGAGAAATTTCCCAACAAGTGGTATCAAAGCTATAAGATTGCAACATCATGGGAGACAAATATCATGCACACTATTACTATGAAGGGGTTCTGAAGTTCATCGAGGAAAATTTCAGTTTTTTGAAGATGCAGGTAAATGATCTTTTTACATGAAAGAAGATATACAAGACTTTGGGGGAGAGACCAGCAAGGATGACAGATAAGGATTGAAGTGAGATGGATGAGCAGGCCATTGCGAACATCAAATGTCGTTATCGATGAATATTTGTAGTTTGGTGGCGAAAGAGACTACAGCGAAAGAATTATTGAAGGCTTTGCAAGACAGGTATGAAAAACTTTCTGCCAATACAAAAATACTTTTGTGGATTAATTATTTTAATATCCACATGGAGGAGGGAACCTCGGTAAATTCCCACATTAATTAGCTCACCGATATCTTGAACAAATTAGAAGGGATAGGTGTCAAGATTGAAGAGGAGGTGAAAGCTATGGGATTGTTGACGTCTTTGCCTGACAATTGGGAGACGATGAAGACTGCAGTGTCGAATTCATTAGGGGAAAATAGCTTGAAATTTCAGCTATTTGTGATGTCGCGTTATCTAATGAAGCCCGAAGAAAATTAGGGAAAATGTCTGCATCTACTTCAGGGGTAGAAAACGGGGTTGAATCAGCTTTGGTAGCTCAGAACAAAGGAAAGGCAAAGGTGAATTACAATGGGAAGCAGCAGCAGAGATATAGTAGGGGTAGTGGGAGTTCCAATGGGGGAGTGGAGTGTAAACTTACTGCCACAAGAAGGGACACGTTAAACGCTTTTGCAAGAAGTTCAAAGAAGATTTTGAGAAGGGGAACAATACTGCAAATGTTGTAACAGAAGAAGAACGGATTGAAGAGTTTCTGGCTTGTGTTCAGAGGAACGTATCTGTACACCAGTTGATAGTAGACACTACAATATCACTGCACGTTGCTTCAGACAGACATTGATTCTTATCTCTTACTGTAGGTGATTATGGCTCAGTGAAGATGGGGAATGAGAGTATCTCCAAGGTGAGAGGAATTGGAGATGTTTGTTTAAAGACAGGCAAAGGGGCCAAGTTGGTTTTACAAGCGTCAGGTATATTTTTAGCATTAGATTTAATTTGTTATCCGTAGGGAAGCTAGATGACGATAGCTACAACAGCGAGTTTAGTGGGGCTTGCTAGAAACTCAGGAGGGAATCCAGGGTGGTGGCAACAGGCCACAAGAGATCTTCTGTTTATGTGTCTGAGTTTAAGGTTGCCAAGGGATCTGAGAGACAGAGGATGTAAAGTGTAGCTGCAGATGGTTCAGGGCGAGACTTGAAAGAATCAGTAGCATTGACAGTCAGGACAGATCAAGAAATCTGCCATCAGTTCAAGTACAACAGTTGGGAAGTAGAAAAAGGGGAAAGGGGAACAGCTTAGAGAGGTGTTCAGTAGACTTTCGGAACAATACTCCAATTGTCAGACGGATGAGCGAGCTGATGAAGTTGTATAGGCGAGATAGTGCATTGAGGGAGAAGACTACAGTTGGTGTTGAAATCAAAGGTAATGTCTCCAAAAAGGAAACAGACTTGGGTGGGAGCGCCAAGTCATCAAAGGAATCATCCTTCAGAGGTCGTTGGGTTCGATCGAGAAAGGAAGTGACAAAGACCACTTAAATCAAGTGGGAGAACGTGGTGTCTCTGATGTCTGGGAGATAAGACCACGTAGGATTGCTCAGTCTTGGAGCAATCACAGACAGATTTTGGGTAGGGTCGAGTAGTGTGGATCAGTTTATTGATATAGCAGTCAGAACTATGCCTTGACAAAGGGTGTCAAGAAGTTGATGGGACACTGTTGATGCAGTGGGAGGCAGAGATTTGTCGCTTTGTCTCCAAATGAGAGATTGTTGGGATTATGGAGCCAAAACAGGAATCTCATGTCCTAGGAAGAAAATGATTTTTCAACACTATTACCAATTCCTACCGGAGTAGGATATTGTTGTCTTATAAGGATTACAATATTGTTTTCCTATAAGAATTAAGATATTTGGCCTCTTATAAATAGAACTATTATGTTAAGGTTTCATCTGTACAGAATCCAAATAAAAAGGACTTGAGTGGTTGTGGACAGTGTTGAAAAGGATTCTGTATCCGTGGGTTTAGTGAGTTTTTTTTTATTCTTGTACCTAAGTATAGTGTATTATAATACTTAGAAGCTAGGAGACTTTTGTTGGGACCTCTAGGGAATATTTTTGGGGAGTGTTTTGTATTCCAATCCTATTAGTGAATTACCAACATCTGAGTGGAAGACGGGACGTAGCCCTAAATGGTGAACCAGTATAATTTGCTGTTCGTTATTCTTGTGCTTTTACAGTTTTCTTCTTATTTGCATATTTTTTGTTGTGTTTGGATATTTCTGTGGAAGGGGAAATTATTCAGGTCAATTAATTTCCCAACATTTTTGACCCATAGCCACTAGTCCTAATTCATTAATGATCCTCCTCATCGTATGATACTCCACTATATATCAACTACCTCTTTTTTGCCCATGTATCTGCAGATTTTCATGATTTTTGGCAAAACGATCCTTACCATCGAAATTTAGTGATACCACTGCCATTTCTTCTGCTTGAAATTGTTTCAAGTTTTCTTCTATCTTTTCAATCAGTTGTGTCGCCCCTTTCGTCTCGCCTATCGTCTAATCCTCATCCTATTCGTTGAGGACCACCTAGACTTGATGAAGCTCTTTCCACTTGCATCGATAGCCTGGAACAAATTTCTCATCACATTTGAAGCAGAGGCCTTTGTCTGAAATGCACTACTCTCATTAAACGCTTGAAAGTCGAGAATCGTGATAGCCTTCCAATCATCTTATTGTCTTAATCTTGTTAGAAAGAATGGTGATGCTGTACATGATGCCTAGAGGGAGAACCTCATTGTACATGGTAGAGATTTGTTCCTTTCTCACCAAAGGGTGCATCAAGCTTTTCAAACATGGATTTGGCAGTAGCATGTCGATCCTTGATCAAAAAAGGGATATCGGACCCGTGGATTCAACTATAACGATAGCAATCATTGATTAACTATAATTACTTTTGCCATATTTGTAATTATGTTACATTATGTGGCTACTAAAAATAAAGGCAATAATTTTTACATTCTGTCAAGCTTGCAAATCATCAAAGAAGGAAAACCTTAAATAATCACACAAACTCGATTCTCGTTGTTTAGTGTAAAAAAGGAACAATGGAAAGGCAAAGGAGATGAAGCTATAAGGCAAATTCACAAATAGTATCATACATACAAACAAATTATTAGTAAAACCAATTTAAGATTAATCACCACCCCCTTCCCTTCTTTATCAGCACGAAAGAAAAACCAAGGCCATATGTAAAATAACTTATTTTATCTACTCATCTATTTCCCCTTTTCTCCAACACTTGATGATAAAACAGACTCAATACATGTATAATCACTTAGCAGCCACAAGTAGAAAGCAGTGCAGCGACCTCCAAATCTTCAGTATCGACCACCTCTTTTCGACATGGGACTATAAACAACTCGTGTGTACTCGGTGTGTCATCAAAATATTTTCTGTAGTACTTGGTGGCTAGTTTTTGTGTTTTATTCCCCAAATATCTCTATGACATGACTAACTAACTTGATCCTATACCTTCATTAGCAGGCACGCAAACCAGTCTCATATTATTAACAACCATAAATTAAAACGCCCATTCTATCCCCCTTCAGAAAATACACTGTACCACTATAAAGAATTCACTCTTCTAAGAACGCGCTGTGGTCTCCGCTTCTCAATGACTGGGATGAGTTTCTCCTTGAGCTTCAATAGAATGTATCAGTACGTCAGTAATACTACCAGTAAAGAGAACCAAATCAATCCAGTTCAATTGAATAAAAATTAATAGGTAAAGTTCTGATCCAGCAAATTCTACCTAATTCATTTTGTGCAGAAGAAACATTAACAATCGATTCAAAGTTTAATTACTGTGAAGTTCAAGAGATTGTGGGAAAATAACAAATATCAAGAACAAATTGCACTCAAAGAAACCAAGTGATAAGCTCGGAATTTCAATTTGTGATTATTCTGTTTCGGTGAACATAGACTAGCCAATTACATGTAATTGAAAATCAAAACTAATATGTAATTTGAGGCTGGGAAAACAGATGTCTATTTGGATTATTATAACTTCACTGCTGCTTTCAAGTCAAACCAGAGTTTCATGAACAAATTTCAGAATGGTCTATGGAAAAAATGAAATGGGCAACGAGTTGTTCTTCCTAAATAACGTGTTTGTTAAAAGAATCAATTGCAAATCAAGAAAATCAGCAACTTAAATGAAATACTATGGTGTATGAAATAGCCATGTCTTTTGAGATGGGAAAAGACAGTACCAAATATAGATCACATGTATATAGACACTCACATACAAGAAACCTTCAAAGGTTTACCAATTTAAACTAACAAAAAATATGTTACATGCCAAGTACAGAGAAAAGTTACTTCACATGAAGAGATGCTTTGTTGAATGGTGATGTTGGATATGGTAGTAATCAAACAGTAATCACAAAGAGAAGTCACGAACCAACCAGTTGGACAAAATCCCCCCAAATCCCTCTCAGTTCAAATTCTAGGAATGAATTTTTTAACAAAGTTGAATGGAAAGATTAGTTGCATTTTGAACAAAATGACGATATCTTAAGAAAATTCATCTGGAGCTTTCAATCCAAATAAAGCCAGAAATAATTGCTAAGTCTAACTCCTAATCAATAGTTCAAATCAAGATGATAAAGATACTTTCGAAATGGTTTGGTTGTACTTAATCCCTATTATGGATCATTAACAATTAGAGATCTTTATTTTATTATTATTTATTCTCTTCTTATTTTTTATTTTTTGTCGGCTACATTGCTCCAGGTTTGTTTTTGGTGGCCCTATCTATCTTAATAGAAGTTGGTTTCTTAAAAACACAAATATATGGTTGCTTTTCTTCTAATTACTATTATATTATTATTTCAGAAGAAAATACTTTTTGTGCTATTTAATTAGCCCATTCTGTTGTCACTAGTCGATTTAAAAACTTCAATTATCTTTGTTTTTTCTATTCTTATCACCTAAATAGTTGTTGAGGAACATCAAGACAAACATTTCCCAAATTTTCAAGTCACTTTGTAATGGTTAGACTGTTTAAGAATCTTAGCACCTAAGAGCTGAAGAGATAGAAGAAGTCAAATCTGTCTAGAGGATCTTTCAAGTCAAGATGATGGACAAATATCAAATTATTTTTGTAATTAGTTTTACCTGAGAGGAGTTCTAATCCGTTGGTAATCTGTGTCGCATTTTGTTAATGAATATATTACTATGGGTTTGAATTACACACACACACACACACACACAGAATGATGCAAATATCATGAAACACCAGTATGAGCATTAACTTATCTTTTCAGACCACTTACCTAGGAATTTCTGGGTAAGTTTTCCATAAAAATTAGTTAATGGCACTAGGCTTTGGTACTGTTCCATGAAGGTAATATGCAATTAGAGGACGATGCTGGAAGAAAAATAGCTGTCTCCTCATATGGTTGTCACAAGGCTAAATAACTCCAGAATAATTAAAATAACAAAATCCAGGTGCATTAGAAACCATTTCTTTTATTAGAGTAGTTGAAAGATGAGCTGGAAATTAATAACTTCCTGCCACCCCAAAACGACTAAGGGTACCTTATTAAAAATGTCTCTGTCATTCCCAATTTTCTCAACAGGATTTCAAAGGAAAATTTTCCATAATATATAAATTAAAACAAGTTTCTCGAACTTATTTTCTTAAACATCAAGTTTTATTTTCGTGCTTATGCTTATTTTTTCTTCAAACAATCATGTTTCTTTGGGATAAGCTTCGGTAATCATATTACTACATAAAGAAGTTTGTAATTTATTTTCTTATATGAATTTGTTTAATAACCGTCACTGTCTAAGCTGACTTATACATGCCTGGACTAATTCCATAGAACAAACAATTCGATCCTGCAACAGTTCAACTTCTAAACCAAAAACTGAGAAGTAGCTACTGGACTCAAACCTAAGACATAACATCTGAGTTTATTTTTCTGAATGATAAATGACCTCTCAATTCACAAATATAAAACATAAGGTTACAGCTGTCTAGAACTACAATCTTTTACTATCCAACATGGCACCTGAGTTCATCTGAGTTACCAATGCATGTAAATATAGCATGAGATAAGTCCATACATATTATGTAAGTTACCACAGATTACAACATGGTTAAGTCAGTGTCCTGTGATTTGGCCTTTTAATACTCTTTAAGATGAGCTGCTTTTGGTTAGAGAAATGAACGTGACTAAATAAATAAAAACATGTATATACAACTCGTGAAATTAAGAAACATAGGCAAGCCCTTAATCCCAAAAAATGTTCTAATTTAACACTCTCATACGCAAAGCACACATCAAATACTACACATAGAAAGAAAAATAATCTCAAACAAGAAGTACATACCTGCTTAGACCGTTCCTTGACGTGCTCAGCCTGCATTTAGAATTTGATTCCTCAGAACTTCTGAATGGATGATCATTTAGACTTGACACATACAGAAACCCTAAGATGAATCCAGCATGCAGTGGACCAAAGTCATCAAAATGAGCAGAACTCATCGGCATATCGTGACCTAGTTCCGACGACCATGGAATGGCATTTCTTATGGCATTAATAAATGCATATAATTTTAATTGGCTACAGAAAAGTATGTATTGAAGTTGAGGTTAGCAGAGTAAAGGAAACAATAATTTGTGAATTGTGATTAGTTTTACTGAATTAATTGTTGACCCCAACCGTCCCAAAATTATTATATATAGATTATAGTTCCTGGGGACTTCCACATATTTCTTTTGAGAAAAAGAATCACAGCCTGAATCTCTAGGAGAATGAAGAAAAACAGACGCAAAAGTTCAGGAGGGTCAGATCCTCTTGGATGTAAATAGAAACCTTTCTTCAGCATCTTCCTCCTGAGAAAAGGAGGCACAAGGGCATTGCTGAACTTTCCACAAGCCAGAAACTCGAGCACGTCTTTAATTGTTGTTTTGGCCCTCTCTCAGCTGTGACTTTTGTAAGATTTTATTTTATTTTTTTGTATTCTTTCATTTTTCTGAATGAAAGCCTGGTTTTATTATTAATAAAAATTATTATAAAATTAAAAATTAAATAGAAAAACCCTTTTAAGAGCAAACCCAGGACAGGATCTCTCTCTCCTGCCGTTTATGTTCCAAGACTTCCGCAATCTTTCAGGAGAAAGAGGGTCAAGATCAGGATCCTCTCCACCTTATGAGTACAGCAGGGTCAGTATGGTTTTTCCTTCCCTCCTCTTTCAAGCATTAGTCTCAGAAAGAAAATACAACAGAACCTACTGATAATACTGATTTTAAGAAGAAAAATATTACATGTATCACTTGAGAGTCAGCTCCTTGAGTGGCACAAACTGCCATTAGAACACGCAGTCCCAACTGGTTATCCAATCGATAGGTAATTAAGGTGATGGGAGCATGAAGGGAAGGGGTGACAAATGTAGTGATACTTGCTTAAATGTGAAAAATAAGAGCGTGTTTGGGAGTGATGGTAGAATGAGTAATTTTGAAAAAAGAGATTTAAATGTAATTAATTTTCCAAAATCACCGTCTAAGTGATACTTTAAAGTTGATTTTAATCTTTAAAATCAATTTTCTAATTTGTCATGATCAATGGAAAGGGAAGTGATTTTGACATGGCAAAAAGTGATTTAATCACTCCCAAACACACCCCAACTACCAAGTATTCACTAAAAGAAAAGAAAAACAAGAATTTCGTTCAGAGGTACCTCTTCTCTCAAGAGCCGTGCATTTTCCTCCTCCAGTTGGGCCACGAGAGACTCCAGCTCTAGCGTATATGCCTAAATTAAAGGTCGTTGAAATGAAATTCAAATAAGAATTAGAAAACCAGAACCAACTTCTTCAAGAACCAAACAGCTCAAATTACGAAGCTGAACTAATTTTTATTCGTCTCAGAGACACGAAAGTTAAATCACGAGTTCTGACATAAGCACAAAAATTAGATACCTGCTTGCGTTCCCTAGAACGGGCAGCGGATTCCCTGTTCTTGATCATCCGTCTCTGTTTTTGCTGTGTGGCCTTGTCAACTGGTTCCTCAACAGCCCTTCTCTTCCCTCTTCCAACTCCAACCATTCTTCCCTCGATTCCACTTCCGTATGCAACCATGGCACCTTCCAATTGCTGCGACGGCATCTGAAACTGGTTATTAAGGGCTGTGGAGTCCACAGCGTAGCCCCCAGGTTTGGAGATTACAGGGACCCTCACGTCCTCACGCACAGCCCCGGCCTTAGATAGAAAATCCTCGAGG